CCGGGCGCCCCCCCGGGGGCCCCGGGGGCCCCCAGGATGGCATGCGGGGCTCTGGTGTGCCCTCTGTCGAAGTGATGTGGGGGCCCAGAGAAACTAAAAATAACAAGTGAGCCATTCCTGTAGGCAAAAGGTAAAAGACAATTGCAGATGCATGCAACGCAATTAGTCACAACGCAGCAGCAGCAGCACCAGCACCAGCAGCGGGGAAGCAGCAGCAGCAGCTGGGAAGCAACTGCTGGCGCAGTGGCAGCAGCAGACGCCGTTGCCCAGGCTGCTTCTCTGCGTTCGACCGCAAACTGGTGACTCGAAGCTGCAAACCCTAACCCCCAAACCCTAAACCCCAAACCCTACCCCCCACATCCTAAACCCCAAACCCTAGCCCCCAAACCCTAAATCCCAAACCCTAAACCCTAAACCCTAAACCCTCACCGGGAAAGGGAGTGGCGAAGGGGAGGCGGCGGGAGTCGAGGTTTCCAGAGCGCAGAGTCGGAAGCCTCAAACCCGAAGAAGAAACGAGAAAGCCATCAACAGAAACCACCGGGAGAACAGAGAGAAAACGGGCCCCAACTCTTTGCCAAGCATCCATCACAAGAGGCACTCCTTGCTGCTGCTGCTGCTGCTGCTGCTGCTGCTGCGCCGGCTGCGCGGGCGCGGGCGCCGGCGGGTTGCCCCCGCCAACGCTGCTGCTGCTGCTGCTGCTGCTGCTGCTCGCTCTGCCCGCTTCCGAGGCCCTCGCTTCTACGTACACAGGCCGCACCGCGGGGTGCTTCGGGGGGGCCCTCTCGGGGCCCCCGTGGGGGCCCCCCTGTAGGCCCTCGGGGGGGCCCCCCTGAAGGGCCCCCGTGAGGAAAGAAGCTGCTGCTGCTGCAGTGTACATACACAGCGAGTCAAAGGCCTCCTGCATGCTTTGCTGCAGGCCGGGGGCCCCCACTAGACGAGAAACTGGGAGAGGAGGCAAGAGAAAGAGCCTCTCGGGGGCCCCCTGGCTGTGCCCTTCCGGGTCGGGGGCCCCCGGGGGGCCCCCCCCCGCTGCAGCAGGGGCCCCGGGGCCCTTCGCCAGGTCAAGGGGGGCCCCCCGG